GAGAGAGAGAGAGAGAGAGAGAGAGAGAGAGAGAGAGAGAGAGAGAGAGATATTATGTGCCTGCAGAGGCCAGAAGAGAGTATTGGGTTCTCTGGAGCTGGAGTTACAGGCTGTTTGGAGCCATGTGCTGTGGGTGCTGGGAACAGAACTTGAGTCTTTGGCAAGAGAGTATGTACTCTTAGTTAATTTCATCACTCTAGCTATCTGGCTGACTTCTTAAAACTGAAAAAAAATGCTTTTAAAAAACTTAGCTTCTCAATTTTCATGCCATTTGGCTTCATGGAAACATGTGACGTGAGCATCACTTCTATCTAAACCCTTCTGATGGGACATCATGCTCCTGCTCTCAGTGTACACAGAGTGAGGGTGAGGTAGAAACCGCGCTTGCTCACACGGTGGCCCACCACTCTACTACTAGTTACCACTCTCTGTGTTCATAGTCAAAGTAACAGACGACGCAATTAAAAAGGTGACACACCTTCCCCCATCCAAAGGCCTCCAAGATGTCAGCATTGTCACCCGTCTCTGATGCCTGCATGGCCTGTTGATACTACTAGAAGCCGAGGAGCTGCCAGAGGACTTGGGATGAGAGGCTATGGAGGAAGAACCAAAAAGTGGAGGAGAGAGTGAACCTGGTGAGGGTGGGTGCAATTCACTAACTGTTAATTAACCCGGGTGGGTAATCACCTGCCTGGGCTGTCACTGAGGTAGAAAGGTGGAAGTGCGGGGGTTTTTCATCCCTTGAACGTGGCATTAACCACAGTGACCGCAAAGTACTTATCTCATGTATCCCGGAGAGCTCTGTTTTGCCAGTCAGGAGGTGAGAATGCACATTGCCTCAGCTGGTTTATTAGCTTGCCTCGAGTATCGAAGCAGAGTTCATTCTGAATGCTCACACTGAGTGTGAGGGTGCTTCTGAGCCACAGGGGTAGAGTGACATATGAGGCTTGCATGGTCCCTGCCTCTTTCAGGTGCTGCCCTAGTGCAGGGGAGGGTAGCACTGAGATGGCTCCATCTGTGCACTCTGAGATGTCCTGGACTGAGGGAAGCCAGGGAGTTCAAAGTGTAGAATCTCCCACTGAGATGGCTCTGTCTGCCCACCAAGCAACCCCTGCCCGGGATCCAGCCAGCATTCCAGGGCCGAGGCTGGCAGGGACTCTCAGACTTCGAGAAGGAGTTTAAGGTTGATGGGATGTATCTACTAACTGAGAAGATATAATTCTATAGAAACTGTGATGTCACCTCTCACAGCTGAAAAGTATCAATGACAGGAATGACAGAGGATATGCTTGGCTGTGTGAGAATGTGCATGAGCCCCCATGGGTAGGTGTTCAGAGGGCACTCTGACTTTATCCTATGATCCTGGAGCAGCCCAAAGGCTCAGACCTGCTTCTCCCAAATTGAAGGATGTGCCTGTCACAAAGTTACATAGGGCGGAGGGTGCAGGAGCAGGTAGAGGCAATGGGGAACAAGAAGGGACCTAGCCACACCTGTGTCGCTTCCAAACGAAGAGTACCAGGAGATGCCACAAGAGCCAGCAGGCTCAAAAATACCACAGTACCCAACGATGATGGGATTCCATAGGGCAGATCTTAATACCTGTTCATGTTTCCTGTTCCAGCTCTCTTCCTATTGATATGTGAACCATGCAGTTCAGAGGAAAAGAGCAAAGACTTGGATATTGGGATGCCTTGGGGTTGCACCTTAATTCTAAAATCTACCAGCATTGGGCTCGGGTTCCCCATTTACAAAAGACAGACAATACCTTTAACCCAACAAGATCTGCATTAATTACTTTTTTCATCACTCTGACAAAAGCAACTTAAGGAAGGAAGCTTTTATTTTAGTTCATGGCTTGAGATTGGAGTCCGTCATGGTGGGGAAGCCATGACAACAGGGGTGTGAGTGAGGGGGTGGGTCACAACTGTGCTCACTGGAGGAAGCAGAGAGCCACGAATGCTGCGACTTAGTCCACTTCTTTCTGTCCAGCCTGGGACCCCAGCCCTTGGGATGGTGCCCCTTTCGTTCAGCATGGGTCTTCCCTGTTCTGCTAAAACCTCTTTTGAAAACATACTCATAGACCTACTCAGAGGTGTGTTTCCATGGTGATTCTAAACCCTGTCAGGATGACAATGAAGAGGAGCCAGCATACAGCAAGAGCTCGCTGAGCAATGCTGTGGGTATCACAGCTCGTTCTTCACCAGGTATTTCTGTCTGTGTACCATCATGCCCCCAGCCTGCACGACTGCTGTATCTCAGGGCAGGTGTCTCAACTTCATCTAATGAAAACCAAGAACATGGCTCATCTTGGGGTCATCGCTATCAGTCATAGGAGAGTGACACTGGAGCTTCCTAATCCTCACTCAAGCTGCTGCATGGTCACTTATGAGGCATGTCCATCATCACAGAGGGGTGGCTGCCCAGAGAGTCCACCAGAGACTACACAAATGAAGAAGTATCTCCATCACATGGTCATGCTAGAGGGAAACACCACAGCTCTAACAATGTTAGAAGATTAGGCCTCCACCTAAGTAAAGCTAAGAGGAAAGCCACAATAGGGCAAGACCACCTCTGACTTCCCACAGGAAGACATGCTTGCCTTGGGAACTCACAGTTCAAATCCATTCCTACTTAAAGGGCCCACAACAGGCATCTGCTCTCCCCACCCTGCCCTTGTTTTTCTGACAGCTGCTAAGTCCCAATCAGAGAAAACCTATTCTTTAGACTAAATTTGGATTTCAAGGGCCTCCTCGGGAGTTCTTATTAACTCACAGGGATGCTGTTCTCCTCCAGCCCCCTCTGCGGTGTGCAGTACTTAGTGTGAATGCGGGTACCCACAGACTTCAGAGAAGTCCTGTTTCCAAAAGGGGGGGGGGTTGCCTACTCCTTCTCTCCATTCTAACTGTGACCACAGGCTCCTTCCCAGTTAATAGCCAAGCTCTACCAGTAGCTGCAAATTCTACTAAAAATCCTTTAAATTTGTCCACACGAAGCATAGGTTCTAATGTGTTATCTTAAATGTTCCAATCCACTAAATTTACCTACACAGTGGAAAACATCTGAGCACTAGGTACAGACATCTAAGCGTTTGATTACAGATGAAAGTCTTGGTGTTTGCCATACAGACAGCTCCCACACTTATGGATTCTTTCACACCCTCCTGGACCTTTTACAACACACCCCAAGGCTGGCACAGACATTTGTGAGCCTTAGGGGAGGCTGGGGTAAAACAAAACAATAAGACAAC